ATCAGCAGTTGGGCTATTTTCGAAACGCCATTCCTACGTGTACACCTTGCTACCCGAAGAATTCTTTCCCATGGAAACAATTTCCCTTGGAAAATGTCGACATAAACATTGTCCAACGTAGCGGCTAATCGCCACAGAAAAGGCTTGACAAAACCCGATTAAAAGCGAGCAAGTAAGGCTCCGAACTCTACAGCTCTCAGCTTTTGCGATTTTTGCTCGTAAAAATATAAGTCAATGGTTATGAAAAATAGGGAACTTTTGTAGACCACCACAGAATGCTTTTTTCGTGAAAATGGTGCGAGTAAATTGGTTTGTTGTTCGCATTCAACTGCCGCGCAGCTTCCTGCTCGACAACAGTGTGATGGAAGATGATGATGAGAAGCTTCTTGTAATGTCCCTTTTGTAATGAGTGCTCAGCTCAGATGAAGGAGGGAACTGAGATTCCACTCTCAAATGTCGATAATTGCAACACTGCAGTCGTTCTGATTTCAGTATCTATATAGCACATCAGTCCCACTTATCGGCCCATACCATTCAAAAATGTGGGTTTTACAACAAAGCGAATAGTGATGCAGATGACGAAGTTATTTTATTTTGGTGAGTAAATGGCTCTTCCATGAATGAGTTGCTCCCAATATCCAGAGCGCGTTCTAGCAAACAGCACCTTTGGTTTGAAACATAACCAAACGCTGATGAAGGACTGTTGATTTCAGTTCGGGCAACTAACAAATTGTCGTGGCGTTTGCCGTTGAACGGTGCTTTTAAGTCAGCAGGTGTTGCAGTCGCAATCCCGATGATGCGATAACACCAGCAATGGGGCCTTCTTGTGAACGTGTGGTACCATCCATTTGTCGATCAGATCGTAATCAAAGACACATGGTACGATCACACATAGTTTGGGTGTGTGTGACTATCAGCCCCCCAGCTGTCGAAGCGTAGCGGTTTCCCCGTCCTAACATGCGCAGGAATGGAGATACAGGACCGTGAAACACGCTAATTCCTCCATGCTCCGCCCAATACCTTTTGCGGCGCAGACTCCCGTTCATGCTAACAGCCGTCGTGTGCGCGCGTGTCGCGTGCGGCTCTCTTGGCACTTTGCCAAGTCCTGTAATTGCGCTTTGGAATACAAGTAAAACGCAATTCCCTGATGCGTATTCAACATTAACATAACATTTGAGGTGCTGCAAAATAAGAACCGAAGATGATGACGAGGGCCAGAACTCAAGAGCAACTGTGCTGCTTCTGCAATATCCCTCGGAGGCCGCGCATTTCCACAAAACATGAAAATAAAAACGGCCCACTCGTTAGTTTAATACAAGCAAAACGCAATTTCCTGATATAACATTTGAGGTGTTGCTCATGCTTCAAAGTCCGAATAGAAGGTGATGAAGATGACAAAGGCTAGAAATGAAGAACAACGAATGTAGATGTAATAAAAATGAAAAAATTAAGGAAATGCATATTAATTAAAATCGCGTGTAAATTTCCTGCGATTCGGCGCGATTCCGGCTCCAAAGCCATAAAAATACTTTAAACTAACGAGTGGACGCTTAGGCCGTTTTTATTTTCATGTTTTGTGGGAATGCGCGGCCTCTGAGGGATATTGCAGAAGCAGCACAGTTGCTCTTGAGTTCTGGCCCTCGTCATCATCTTCGGTTCTTATTTTGCAGCACCTAAAATGTTATCCGCATCAGGAAATTGCGTTTTACTTGTATTCCAAAGCGCAATTACAGGACTTGGCAAAGTGCCAAGAGAGCCGCACGCGACACGCGCGCACACGACGGATGTTAGCATGAACGGGAGTCTGCGCCGCAAAAGGTATTGGGCGGAGCATGGAGGAATTAGCGTGTTTCGGTCCTGTATCTCCATTCCTGCGCATGTTAGGACGGGGAAACCGCTACGCTTCGACAGCTGGGGGCTGTTAGTCACGCAGACCCAAACTATGTGGATCGTATCATGTGTCTTTAAGAGGCAATATTCACTAACAGTGTGAGCTCTTTATTTTGAATAGAGCCGCTCTATAGCAACACTGCGAAAATCCACTGGCTCATGCTTATGCGGATGTAACTGGAAGGGATGCTGCTGGAATCACCGAAGGGACCTAAACCTCACAACATGACATGTAAGGCACTGAGGTCTCGACCTCAGTTCACGTTGTTTTCTATTCATAGCTGTAGATAAAAAAGGATAAAGTCTTCGCCGTTAATCAATCCCTTTGTGGGATGCGGCACGCATTCTACTTCCATTCAGAATCGTAGTGGCTTATTGAATGCGATGTGGCCTATACAATGACTTGCGGAGTCCAACCGATAAACAAGTTAACGTTCTTATCCTCCCGGACGAAATTTGGTACCAATTTACCGTCCCCGGAGGGTAGAAGACTTGGCTGGCCTGGGCCGGAGTCGACCTGGGAACCGAAGCCCAGTGATGAGCGCTTGTCAACTAACAACTACAACTCTGCTCCTAGCTAAAAGAACCGCCTCGCTAAACTATACACTCGTGAAGGCTACGCGCTAAACCGGAGCCTTAAAATAGTTTGGGTGAGAAATCATTCAAATTCCTGTCGGAATTTTTCAGTCCCAGTTTTGGCAATTACCGATAACCCATATAAAAAAACCTACCAAAACAAACCCGCATCCTGCTGTTGGTCCAATGGGCACAGATGCACAGATGGGACTCAGATGACCTGAACGACCTTGCTTGTAAGGACAGCACCGAACTCGGAAATGTTGTTCACAGAGCCTCAGTGTCCAGCTGGTGTTCTCGCTCAGCAGTGGGGGGGGGGCGGTATTGGGTTGATCGATCA